ATGAAAAATGTTTGTCCATTCAGTATTAGAAATGATTTTCAATTTTAGGGCTCTCTCTCTCTCTCTCTCTCTCTCTCTCTATACCTTTCCCTCTTTCCCTTCAAAACGTGGTAAATATTTGAGCTCCAAATGGTTGTCAGTAATTCTGGGATCTTCTAAACCTTGCATTACATGACAATTAAAGTGATTATCTGGTGAATTGAAAATGTTGGGCACCCTCTTAGATATTGGACGATCGGTCACTCTATCGACCACTCCGTCGGCCATTATTAGGGACACAATCTCTGCGAGCCAAGTGCTGCCTGACTTCGGGTAATTGCAGATCCAAATGTCTGTCGGCCTAACTGTTGTATTTTTTATACTAACCAGCCATTCAAGTCGACCAGGCTTATATCGTATTAATTTACCCTCATGTTCAATTACATTGTCATTTATAAAACCTACATTAAAGTGATATTTGTCCCGGCGTTCAATTTGTTCTCTCGATAATTGCTTTGAATTCATAATTAACGCAAATAATAAACAAAATTAATTTAAACTTTAAGCTATATTAAAGTTATTGAATTAGATTACAATTATAACACACAATTTAATATATAAAATTTATAATATAATATTTTTATATAAAGTGAAAAAATATTTATAATTCTATTATTAATCTAATGATTGTAAAACTATACTAAAAATATTTATTAGAAAAATATTCGTCTATATTAAAATTAATTGCTTTGTCATTTTGAATTCTGGTAAGAAAAGTACCCAAGGTAAAATAATTCAATTATCATGATGTGATTTAATTATAACTACATTTGTAACCACAAACAAGTAAACGTATAGCATTGAGGTGTGCGCGTTGTTTATATCATTTCAGGATAAATTATATTAAGTATATTTAATAATAATTAATAATGTGTAATATATGCCACTAATTTCAACACATCACAAATGAGAAAGCAGATCTGATTTTCCAACTCATATTGTAGTTAATAAAAATTTCTTTTCAATTCATTAGTTATAAAGTTCTTTATATTTGATATTGTATATAAAATTAAGAAAATAATTTTATTTTAAATAAAAGTACTATTTAAAAAAATTAATCAATTATCTGTCGCTTACGTTAAATATGAATTCAAAACCGTTATCGAAAGATCAAATTGAACGACGCGATAAATATCACACTAATGTAGATTTTAAAGGTAAATTTATTGAACACGAGGGCAAATTAGTGCGAAATAAGCCTGGTCGACTGGAATGGCTTATTGGAATAAAAGATACAATTATTAGACCGACAGACATATGGATCTGCGGTTACCCGAAATCAGGCAACACTTGGCTCTCAGAGATTGTGTCCCTAATAATGGCCGACGGAGTGGTCGATAGAGTGCGCGATCGGCCCATATCTGAAAGAGTGCCCAACATTTTCAATACACTGACTCATAATCCCAATTATGGTTGGTTTGAAGGGTTAACTGATCCCAGAATTACTGACAACCATTTGGAACTCAAATATTTACCACGTTTTGAAGGGAAAGAGGGAAAGGTATGGAGAGAGAGAGAGAGAGAGAGAGAAATAATTAATTATAATTTAATTATCAGATGATATACATAATGCGTAACCCAAAGGACGTTTGTGTCTCGTATTATCACTTTCACGATATGATGGGAATCCCGGCCATAGATTGGGATGACTTCTGCCAACTCTTTCTCGACGGACACCTAATAAACGGCGATTGGTTGTCACACGTGACCGACTTCTGGCTCGCGTACGGCACTGGGAATCACCCGAACGTACTGTTCATAGCGTACGAGGAGTTGATCGCAGACT